TTGCCCCCACCATTTCCCCCCTTCTTCTCCCCTTTGTTCCTCCGTCAAGTTCCTCCTAATCCTCCTATACGTGCAAACATATGATATTTGTCCTTCTCTGCCTGACTTATTTCGCTCAGCATAACATCCTCAAGGTCCATCCATGTGGCTACACATGGCCAGATTTCATGGTTTCTCATTGCCATGTAGTATTCCATGGTATAGATAAACCACCTCTTCTGGATCCATTCGTCCGTTGGTGGACACTTCGGGCTCTTCCTTTCTTTTCCCCCTTATTTTATGTATGTCTCTTTTTATTTCTCTCTCTCATTCTCTCCCTCAGTCTCTCTTTGGCCCTCTCTCAACTATCTTTCTCTGCCTTTGTTTTTAATTCTTCCCTTTGCCCCTTTCCTACCTCCCATTTATGTTTCACAATTAAATATACTGGAAGATGAAAGTTTTATTTTGGTTCTATTTATAAAATACAAATCTTGGGATGCTGGGATGGCTCAGTCGGTTAAATGTCTGACTCTTGGTTTCGGTTCAGGTCATGATCTCACGGTTCATGATTTCGAGCACTGAGTTGGGCTCTGTGCTTACAGTGCTAAGCCTATTTGAGATACTCTGTCTCCCTCTCTCTCTCTGCTCCTCCCCTGCTCACTCCCTTTCTTTCTCTTTCAAAATAAATAAACATTTAAAAATTAAAATAAAATAAAAATGTATGAGCACTACTCTTCATCTAAAATGTAATAAGTGTTTTACCAAGTAGTCTCTTATTAATTTGTTCTTTACATAGTTTTTTTTTTTTTAATCCTTCCTTTCAAGCACCTGCAATCTACTTTCTGTTCCCACCCTCTGCTCAAGGCTACCAATCCCATGGACCCTTCTCAATTCTCTTTTCCCACGATCTGTCCCCTGCTTCGAAAATCTCCTTAACTAGAATCCATTCAACCTGTATGTAGCACTCACCACATGCTTGTAAAAGAGGCTCTTTGGTGTTTGTGTTCCTTCTACATTATATGTTCTTCAAAGGTAGGTCTTATATCCTTGGCACCTTTTTTGTACCCTCAGCACCTTTCTTAGTACCTGGCGTAGCAAATGTTCATTGACATGAAGCATGTTTGCTGCCCATAAGCAGCATAGAAAGCAAGCAGAGGAAAGAGAGAGACAGAGACAGAGAGAGAGTAAATAATAGGTGTACTAGGCAGACAGGAGACAGATAGGTGTAGATAAAGTGTTGGCTGAGCAAAAAGGAGAAAAGTTGGCTTGGACTGGGGAACCAGGGAAAGCTTCTTTAGAAAAGGGACTTAAACTGGATTTGGGAGGGTATCTCAAAGGCTAGTTGTTCTGGGGTAGAGGAGAATGTTCAAGGTACAGTGGACACTGAACAAATGTGAGAAGGCAAGAGAGAAACATCCAGTGCTATTGGAACAAAGCTGTGTGAGAGGGAGAATAAGAGAAGGGAGGGGAGAAGGACCGAGGAGGAAGGCGTGTGATACAGGAGCCGCAGAAATGGGAGGAGATCAGGTCCGATGGCACCACACTTGTCCATTATTGTTTACTGTCCAAATGAGACTCTTTTGAGTGTGTAGGGGGCACTGATAGTAATTTTACTGGAACAAAATGTTAAACTGGGCTTATTTCAGGCAAACTGGAATGGAAGGGAACCACTTCTTTATTGTTTCCCTTCTCTACTCAGAAATTTGTAGCACATACTTTTCTTTCTCTGATCTTCACTGAAGTCTATGCAACCTGATTTAGTTCTTGTTAGTTTTTTAATGTTTTTATTTATTTTTGAGAGAGAGCACCAGAGTGTGAGTGGGGGAGGGGCAGAGAGGGAGACACAAAATCTGAAGCAGGCTCCAGGCTCTGAGCTGTCAGCGCAGAGCCCGACGCGGAGCTTGAACTCACTAACTGTGAGAGCATGACCTGAGCCGAAGTTGGATGCTTAATCAACTGAGCCACTCAGGTGCCCCTTGATAATTTTCTAATTATGTTACCCATGCTATATTTTGTTTTCCTGGCTTCTTGAGAGCAGAGGTCTCAAGTGTTTGCATTCTTCATAGTACCCAACACAGGCAGGAACCTTATTGGCACTGAGTGTCTTTCAATGTGTCAGTTAAGGAGGCAAGGTCAACAACACAACTCATGGGAAAACAAGCACCCATGAGGCTAATCCATGGTATATTTGGATGCTGCTTCTTCAGCTGTCCTTTGTAGCCTAGATCCAAGACCGATTGTGGTATAGCTGGAATCCGCACTAATGTGCCTGAAAGTTCGGCCTTTCTGTGCATGAATGAAGGTCACAGCACCAGCTCTCCTCCCAGAGCCAATGGTAACTCTGCAAAATGCCCAGTGAAATAGTCATCATTACCTCTTCATTCAGACTCATTGGATACCTTGGGCTGGAATATTCAAAGTAATCATGGGGAGTCAAGTTTTCTTCTTCCTAAAAAGCTGCTTTGGGATTTTACTGACATTGGCTAATGGAAATGCATCACTCTTCTTAGCTTTATGGCTGATGAGGCTATATGCAACTGGAGTGTTAAGAGCTGAGATTTGTAATTAGTTCATGCAAAGCGTTGATAGATACATTGTTCTTGGTGTAATGAACTGTGGTTTGAAACACTATGCTAATAAAATAAAATTATGTTTAATTTTTAATTATGTTTAATAAAATTATGTTTAATGCTCTTTTGTAGTTTATCCTGAGTGTCAGACTAGATTATAGGATCTCATATATGCTGTCAATATATAAGAAGGAATTTGGAGAGAACAATGAAAATGCTGAAGCTTCCGCCAGTGGCTCTCCAGAAACATTACTGCCGTCAGGTACCTCCTTTGTGACAATATGTACTCTGTAGTGTTCATATTTTAAGGCACAGTAATATTTCTAGGAGATGCAAATGTAGAAATCATAACCACCAATGACATGAAGGAACTGAATTGGAGCCTAGAACGTCCAAAGGATATTTGCAGTTATTTGGTGCTAAGTCCTCGGAATGCAGTTGATTTTGTAGCCTTCACAATTTGATGAGGTAGAGGTACTGTTTATTGTGCCATTTTACCGATAAGAAAACCAAGGTTAGATCGGATAAATTGCTGGCTATAGGTCATGAATATAGTGGAGCGGGGATTCTCTCAGAATTGTCTCCAGTTTCAGAGCCTGAATCTTGGAAGCATCATGTTGTTTTGATGAAAGTCCAAGGGAGATGTTTTTGCCTCATTAAAGAGCAGTGTGAAATGCAGCTTTCTGCAAGAAAGGTATTTTTTTAGGAAGCTGTTGCCCTGCTCAAGAACAAAGACATGGTATTTCCCAAAGGTCTAAATGAGAGTGTTGTTGTGTGTGTGTGTGTGTGTGTGTGCGCGTCTGCTTACTTTGCATGGTTATGAACTGTTACTGTATGTCAATTTTTCACATTTTAAAATGTAAGAATGAAAGCCACTCTTATCTCTGTGTGTAGGAGCATAGTAAAGAAAGAGCATAAGAATTACTGTAAAAATTTTGTGACTGTAGAGAATACCTTATGAAACTTAAGAAACTCTACATTTCCATCTTTCTGGTTAGATCAGGCCAGTAACAGCAGGCTAGAAACTTCTGTATTAAAGATTTAGCCAGGTAACAGAATTCTTTTTCTGAGGATAGGATCTGTGTACAGATATGGAATTTTCTTCTAACCGCAACCAGTATAAAAGTGTCAGGAATCCTCCTCATTTTTGCCCGTCAGTCAATTTGGCAGGAATGACTCAGTGATTGCAAGTGTGTAGTTAAAATGGGTGGTAGGCCAGTGTCCCGCTCTCGAACTCCTTAGGACCATCCTAAAGGCAGCATGCCTCTGTAGACAGGTTAAGTTTGCCTCAGCGAGAAGTCACTTCTGGTACATTGGCAACAGTAATGTTTCTGTGCTTCCCAGAAGGATAGAACCCCAAAGGGCTATTTCCAGGAATGCTATGGCAGAACCAGAGAGTCTTGCTGGAGGTTGCATTGATAGTATCATAAACATTACTGGCTCTCAGAAGCCAGATTTCTGGAAATAGAAGCTCCAAGGGTCAGTAAAGTATGGGAGGGACCCCCCTGAAAACCAGTTCTCTCTGATGTACCTAATCTCTTTCATTGGATGAATCTGGAAGAGAGAGCTTTCTGAGAATTCTTTTTCCTCTTTTTTTTTTTTTTTATCTTGTTCTGCTTTGTTTTTGTGCTTTGGAGATGAGAAATAAATAATATTATTTAAATGTGTTATTTTAAGAAAGTTATCTTCAAAATATTAGTGGTGAGGATGGGTGAGGAATCATGATTGGTTCACATAAAAAAAAAAAAATAATGTCCCATAAGAAGAATGGATGGAATTTTAGAAGGGAGGATGCATAAAAGGACCATGCTGTTTGGAAATACCGTAATTGTTACAGGGTTCATTACTGCTATATTTTGATTCTTTAAAAACATGTTTAAAAACATCCTTCCATGTCATCATCCATTTAAATTATATAAATTTGTGTGTGTGTGTGTGTAACTGATGCATATGTGTGTGTGTGTGTGTGTGTTTATACAAGTGAAGTAACTTTGTAAATGATTTCTCATGTAAATATCTTTGACTGTAGCAATATATATTTCAAAATGTAAACTTTGTTTAAAACATTGATATGTAAGTGAAATTATATTGCAGCTTTTCAAACTGTTGACTTTTGGTGGCATAAAGGAATGAAGGCAAAATATTTTAGGTATGCTAATCTCAGTATAAATATGGTGACTCCTAATTATGATAAGAGAAAGAATGAATTTTACCCTTTGTCTTTGCAGCAATTGTTCCTGATATAGATGAAATTGCAGCTCAGGCAGAAACAATGTTTGCTGGAAGGTACAGTAAAGCTTCTATAGCTTTATAGTGTGAATACGATTTTTACTTAGAATTTTATTGATACTTTGCTATTGTTTACCTCCGTATATTTAATTTTAGAGCCTTTATTGTTTCCAACATAATTTCTGCCAGAAATGAAGCTACTAATGCAGTGTAGGAGGGAAAAGCATAGCTTTTCTTTTAGGCAGGTCAGGGGAAAAAAACCGAGAGAGATGAAATCAGTGTATTGAACTTTTCCCTGAATTCTTTGCTTTTCTTTCCTCAAATAATGACAGCATGCGAATGCCCTTTAAGTCCCCTGGTCAATAGCGCTGTGTCTTGCAAAACATTGCTTGCCTGAATCTAAAAAATTTGAGGCAGGGAAGTAACTTCTTTCAATGTTATCATTAACTGTTTGTGAGAAATAAAGCTATTTTCTGCCAGTTGGAAATATCCATGATTAAAGAAAACAAAATACCTCTGGCATGACTGCCCTCCTTTGTTACCGGGAGCCCTGACGTTTATTGTTTTAAAGTTGCTTCTTTCTTTTTAAGAAATGAAAACTAATAGCAGTAAAAAAGAAAAGTAAAGAAAAAAAAAAGGACCTGAATGTCTAAGCTACAAATCATTGAGTTTCTAGTTTTCATTTCAAATATAACAGATTTGCCATGAGAACCTAAACAAATTTCACACTAAGCCCTTTGTTGCTTAGAAAGACCAACAAAAGTGAAGAATCAAGGGACCCAAAAAGGATTTTTATCTCCAGTGAACATTTGGGTTAGCTTTGTTTTCATGTTGTTTTGACAGATTTTGTCGTTGTTGTTGTGGTGTTTTCCTATTCAAGTATTTCATTATTCCTGAGGCGAGATAATAAATCAGCGTATGAGTTTTCACCTTGGTATAAATGGACCTCTTACTCCAGGGCAGTCCTGCCCAGCGTCTGAATATAGCAAATACCCAGAGCAGCTCTGGTGGTTGTGTGCACGTGTGTGTGCCGGTGTGTGCCCTTGCCCTTCCCCCAGCTGCTCACTACCTGGCATGGAGGGGCCTCTGGGGTTCTGGGTAAAATCAGCTGTTGCTGTACATCCATCCTAGAATCTCTTCTCAGTACTAGAGTCGAGATTTTTTGGATCGATGTAGATTCCTAGCTTTTGTCTGTGTCTAAGTGAGCAACTCATCCTGGCTGGCCTGGTCCCTTCCCAGTACAAGCTCTGAAAAGTTCTCCATTCTGGGAAACCCCCTCTGTCTCAGACATGCTGGGTTGGTCGATCACCCCTACTTTCCGTGGACACACACAGGCTTTTCTTTGTGCTTTGTTTCTTCATCAGTTACATGAAGGGGGAGAAAAAGAGTAAAGTTATTTTGCTTTTTACTTTCCAGTTTGGAGGGGTCAGAGGGATATGGCTCTGAGAATGTATGTACAATTTGAACTACTTACGAATAGATTTTATGTAAATATAAGTTATTGTAGAATTATTTTTGGTTTCATAGAAAGGAAAAAAATCCAGTTCAACTTGATGATGAAGGAGGCAGGACATTTTTACGGGTCCTCATTCATCTGATCATGCACGACTACCCTCCTCTGCTCTCAGGGGCCCTGCAACTACTGTTCAAGCACTTCAGCCAGAGAGCGGAAGTTTTACAGGCATTTAAACAGGTAAGATTGAGTAGCCCCTCAATGGTGGAGAGCAGAAGCTCAGAAAATGTTGTTTATAACATCCCACCTGGCTTCATGGTTGCAGAGTTAATGAGACTGTGAGGCTTTTCCTGGGGCCGCTTTCTATGTTTAAAGATAGATGTGGCCTTGTCTTAATCCAAGACATGATCTATTTTAGAAAGAGTTCCCCGTCAGTGATTTTTGGTTAATATCTTTAATGTAAATGACAGGCACCAAGATTTAGGAAGGCACTGGGGGTTAATACCATATTAGGAATTTTGTTGCCACGGCTATTATTTTGACCCCAGATTTTACTGATAAATTTGGATAGGACAAGCCACAGAGCAGAATAAATATTTTGGTTGAAAAGTGTATAAATGCAAAAGAAAGGAACTGTTTTGGATCTAATCTTTGTCATCTGAATGACATCAATCTTGAGACCATTCGCAAATCATACCTAAGTGCTTACATGTGTTTCACTAATATTTATTTTATTTAATAAAGGGTTGATCTTCATTGGGAAGTTTTATAAGAATATATTAAAATAGGAAATAATTTCCGAGTACACAGATATAATTATGCATATATTTGGATATGTCATATAAGATGTATAGATTATAACAAAATAAAAGTTTATACCATGAGGTTTAGACTGTATCAGAATTTTCTTCCACTTATTTTTGTATTTCTGTCTCTTTTCAAACACATAGATTCTTGGAGAAATGAACTTTAGCAGTGAAACTAGAGTTGCGGTATCTTTTATTTTACATTACTTCATTAGCAGTTTGCTAGGGCTCACTTTTTAAAAATTTGTATTTCTTTACATGTTGGGTTAGCTTACCTTGCCTATAGGTAAGTTTTCACGCTCAATAGACATCTAAAACATCCATAAATATTCTAGCAATCTGAAACTTGAACTGAGGGACAACTTTGTCGAAAGACTTGGGATTTTTGACACACATCAAATAGGAATGAAGGAATTTCCTGAAGTACATTAAGGGTTCAGAGTTTTCTGTTTCCAGGTGCAATTGCTGGTGTCCAATCAAGATGTAGATAACTACAAGCAGATCAAGGCGGATCTAGACCAGCTTCGACTCACTGTAGAAAAATCTGAATTATGGGTTGAGAAGAGCAGCAGCTATGAGAATGGAGAAATGGGTGAAAGTCAAGTAAAAGGTGGTGAAGAGCCAATTGAGGTTCGTTTTCAAGATATGTTTGGAAATAATCGTATTTCAATTTTTAAGTCATATGCTGTATAGCCAAAATTGTTCATAAACAAAAATTTAATTCTGAGTAATACAGCATCAAAATTTGATTTGCCAAATCAATTAAGTCCATAAGCTGTATTTTGGAATTAATTTTCGTCAATTGCTATCGCTTCTTAGCTCACTTGCCTACTTTTTCACTCTTTCTGCTTTTCACCATAAATCCTATAGTCCAGGAATCAGGCCAGTAGGATGGAGTGAGATGGAGAAAGAAGGAGTGGGTCTTAAGCATAGACTTGAAGAAAGAGGTGAAATTTTATTGTCACCATTCACCATGGCTATTTACTGCCAACCTGTAAATCGTTCCTTTCTTTATTGCATATCCTTATATAATACATAAAAATAGCTAAATGGAACAATATGCTTTAGTGACAGCATGAAAATAGAAAAATTCTGTATTTGCTCTAAAGAGTGGGAAGACGGTGATCCTATGTCTTCTGTTGTATAGGTTTTAGTTTTCAATGGGTTAATTAATTGCTGTTCTCACATTTCACTAAATACTAAATAACCTGGGGCGCCTGGGTAGCTTAGTCGGTTGAGCGTCTGACTTTCGCTTAGGTCATGATCTCGCGGTTCGTGGGCTCGAGCCCCACGTCGGGCTCTGTGCTGACTGCCGGCTCAGAGCCTGGAGCCTGTTTCAGTCTGTGACTCCCTCTCTCTCTTGACCCTCCCCTGCTCATGCTATCTTTCTCTCTCTCTCCTAGAAATAAATAAAAATCTTTAAAAAAAAAATACTAAATAACCGCCTAAAGTTTTTAAAGCTGTATTTTAGTGGTAAGACTTAGCAGACCAATGCCAACATCACAATTGATAAGATATTGTTTCTTAAATGCCTATCTAGTATTTTATTTAGTTGTTTTTAATCTGTAGGAATGTAGATTGTTTAGAGGAGATTACCTACCGTAGCTTTTCTGTTTGTTGGAATACCCAAAATACTGTGTAGTGAAAGGTGAAGAAGCAGTGGGAGATAATTTGAGTCCTCAACATGTGGAAAGGGAAGATCATCTGGTGGGTTCCTACGTCTTCCTTGTTTCAGGACTACTTACCACTAATCTGCACAAAATTTTTGACCAAATCTGTTAGCAACTTTTTCTATGATTTTATAATGTAAGTTACTAGAATGTAGAATTTCTACTCCATGTAAATTTGTTTCATGACCAGCTTTTTTGTTGTTGTTGCTGAGTTCTTCTATAGCAGATTTAAGAAACAAGAGGACATTTAATATTTTATCTAATACTTGCTATATATCAAGTAGTATAGCAGATGTTTCCATACATGGTGTCTCTTTTTGTATATTACAACAAACTATGGAGAGAGTTCACATTTCTAAGGATGAGTCAACTGAAACTCAGAAAACCCAAGGATTTCCTCACTATTAGGCAGCTCTGTGTGACTCAGCTGAGATTTTAATCCAGGTCTTTCTGATGATACGTTCCAGGCTCTTTAATGGAAGACTGCACATTCTGATATAATATTTAAAGGTGTTAAGAGATGTATGATGCTTTTACAAGATTGGAATACCTCTTCCTTTTGCAAATACATAATTTGTACATCTTCTAGAGAGTAACCCTCATGTTGCTTCCTCTTTCAGAATATTGGATTTTTAAAAATAAAGAACAGCTCTAAACCCAAGGAAAATGCATTATGCTCTTTGTAAAAGTTTGCTAAAAAATCACTTGAGAGTATAGGTGAGATGTTCCATGAAAGATCTTAGTCATTAGTCTGCAGCTTAAGTTCCTAATTACTGAGAGAAGTAGAGAAAGACCCTCTATCATAGTGTATATCTATGATACCCCCTTAGCAGTTTAATAAGCAATATGTTTTGATATAAGGAAGGAGAGGTCGTTTGATTGAGGATGCCTTCAAAATACAACTGCATTCCGTGTGGGTTATTAATCTATTTTTCTAGGGATTTCAGATGAATATAAGTCAATGAAGCTGGAATTTATTTATTTGATGAGCACAGGATTTATCAGTTCAGAAAATGGTAATAACTTCAGGTGCTTGAAGCAGGAAGTGATTTAATACAAGGAATTATATTTTTGGAAAGTCTGGAGGAGTAGTACACTGTGAAGGCTGCCACTGGACTATTGATTTCAAGGTCAAGCAATCATAGCTACAATTCAGAGGTCAGGAAGCTTCTTCGGCTGCTGCCAACACTGCTGTTCCACCTCCACTGACTCACCCCTGAAAAGCATGTGGCTAGGTAATGGAACACTCCTGTCCATCAGGGTTTTCTTCTCAGCCCTTACGGCCACAGAAAGATGGCCTTGAATGGATAGGGTATTAAGAGCTTTGGTGTTGAGGTCAGATACCCTAGAATTTGCCACCAAGTGTATGTGTGACTTTGGGCAACTTATTTTAATTCCTTGTGGTTATTTTTAATAGTCTATTCAGTGGACACAATAATGGTACTTAGCTCATGGGAGTACTGTGAAGATTAAGTGAGCAAACTGTGCACATGGTGTGTCAGTGAATAGGACTCCAGTGGGAAAATATAAACAATAAGGTGACATGTTATTCACCAACAGGTCAAGAAGTAAGGCTCCAGCTTTAATTAATTCATTTCTCAATGGGGTCATTATGTACATAGAGACTTCATTTTGAGACTGGTCTTTTCATGGTTGCATCATGGCAGCAGCGTCCTAGACATCTCGCCCCTGTGGGACAACACCAGGAAGGAGTATCTATGCCTTTTCATGCATTTCTGAGTCTTCTGTTTAGGGGCAAGAAAATGTTTTCCAGGCGTCGTTTAGTAGGTTCTATCTCATTTCTCCTTGGCCAAAGCAGGGCCACATGTTTACCTCTAAACCAATGGATTATAAGATTGATTTAGACTAAGTAAAAGATGACCCTCAATATCCAGGATTGGAGAACTACAGGGGGAAAGGATAGATAGCAGAACAAAACTGAAATCTGCTATCACGGAAGAACAAAGCAAGGCTGTCGGTTAATGACCTACAGCGTCTGCCAGAGTCAGTAGTCAATGAAAGCTTGCTATGCTTATTATTGGTTTTTATGTACAGCATATTGTGCTGTTGACCATGATGGGCATGGAATTATGAAATCTTAGAGTTAAAATATACTTATGGGGTATCAAGTCCAATTTCTGTGTGATATTTATTTTCTCTCTGAATAGCTTATGTGAGTGAGATATTTCTTAAGACCATACCACCCTTCTGTGTTGGCAAATTCAGTAGCTCTTGAGGTAGCACATTTTACTGAAGTGAACACATAGCTTAAGGAATAGGATATTACTAGTAAGGAGTCCCTGCAGTCCTTCCCCGTATCCCAGAAGAAACCATTCTCATGAGTTTATGATTATTCCTTTGCTTTTCTTAATGTTTTTACCACACGTATTTGTATTTCTGAAACACAGGGGCATTTGAGTGGCTCAGTCACTTAAGTGTCTGACTCTTGATTTCAGCTCAGGTCATGATCTCATAATCCATGAGGTGGAGCCCTGTATTGGGCTCTACACTGGGCGTGAAGCTTGCTTGAGATTCTTTTTCTACCCCTCCCCCGTTTACACACACACACACACACACACACACACACACACACACACACACTCTCTCTCTCTCTCTCAAAAAAAAAAAAAAACAAACCCATAAAAATATATGCAAAATATTTCATTTAGTCTGTTTGGATATATTTTTACCCTCCATCCTTGTTGATCTGTAGCTGTAGCCCATTCACTTTTTTCTGATACGTATTAGAGAATGTACATTACATTTTATGCACATGTTTATCTAGTTAACTGTTGGTGGACATTTTCATTCTTTAAAGTTCTAGTAAAGAAAATTTGCTGCCAAAAGAAATGCTACTTTAAAAACTTTTGTATGTCACCTGATGCACATGTTTAAGAGACTCTTCCAATTAAAGACTTAAATGTGAGACCTGAAACTATAAAAATCGTAGAGGAAAACACAGGCAGTAATTTCTTTGATGTTGCCTATAGCAACACTTTTTCTACATGTCTCCTAATACAAGGGAAACAAAGGCAAAAATAAACTCTTGGGATTACATCAAAATAAAAAGCTAATATTTATTTTTTTAAATGCTTTTATCTTTACATTCTTTTATTTTAGAGAGAGAGAGTGCATGAGTGGGGGAGAAGGGTAGAAGGAGAGAGAGAGAATCTTAAGCAGGCTCAGTGTAGAGCCCAACACAGGGCTCAATCCCACGACCCTGGGATCATGACCAGAGCCAAAATAAAGAACTTGGACACTCAACCAACTGAGCTACCCAGGTGCCCCAAAACAAAAAGCTTTTATTTTTTTTTTTTTATTTTTTTTTTTTTTTACAAATAGTTTATTGTCAAATTAGTTTCTACATAACACTCAGTGCTCATCCCCAAAGTGCCCTCCTTCATGCCCATCCCCCCCTCCCCCCCACATCCATCAGTCCTCAGTTTTTGTCAGCATTCAAGAGTCTCTCATGGTTTGCCTCTCTCCCTTTCCCCCACCATTTCCACCCTTCTTCTCCCCCTTGGTCCTCTGTCAAGTTCCTCCTAATCCTCCTATACGTGCAAACATATGGTATTTGTCCTTCTCTGCCTGACTTATTTCGCTCAGCATAACACCCTCAAGGTCCATCCATGTTGCTACACATGGCCAGATTTCATTGTTTCTCATTGCCATGTAGTATTCCATGGTATAGATAAACCACATCTTCTTGATCCATTCATCTGTTGATGGACACTTAGGCTCTTTCCATGTTTTAGCTATTGTGGAGAGTGCTGCTATGAACATTGGGGTACATGTGCTCCTATGCCTCAGCATTTCTGTATCCCTTGGGTAAATTCCTAGCAGTGCTATTGCTGGGTCATAAGGGAGTTCTATTGTTAGTTTCCTGAGGAACCTCCACACTGTTTTCCAGAGGGGCTGTACCAGTTTACATTCCCACCAACAGTGCAGGAGGGTGCCCGT